TATCCTTGACCAGATGTACCCTGTAGAAACTCATAAGCATGACTAAGCATTTAACAGTCTAACTAGACATCCTATCTCCACTAAACATTTCTAATACATAAAGTATCTATCCAATATCTATCTAACTAAAAATACCTAACAGTAGAGTGGCCGTCTCCCAGTCGGAGGGTTGGAGGTTCGAATCAAGCTGCCTGCAGTTCGTATGTCGAAGTGTCCTTGGGCAAGACAGTGACACCCCCAAATTGCCCCAATGGTTAAAGCCATTGGTTGAGTTGATGCCACAGGTGGCTGCCTTAGTTCTGTACCGGAAACAAATTCCTTGTGTGTGTAACATTCTTGGCCAAATAAAGGTGATTATTATCCTGATTATTCTTATTAAAACAAAAGGACCTATTCAATCAATATATCAGTTACCAGACTTAAATAGATACCTTTATGGAGTGTATTGTTTGAATTTTAGATGGAACTCTGTGTGTTTCCTCCCTGGTCTAATCTCCAGCGTAGCATTATGGTTTGCTTACCTGCTAGACTAAATCGGCCTTGTTTAGCCAAACAGGGATGTAGCTACTGCAGATTCCTCAGTAGCTTTTCCCTGGGAATTTGGGAAGTTTAGAAATATATTAAATTTAACATTTAGGCTACGTGTTTAATATGCAACCTGAAGTACTTCTAGACCCTATATCGATGCATTTGACTGCTGTTAGGCCAAAGCATGCAGTATTTCTGCACCAGAACTGAATTCCTGGTAATCCCGAGTATGCTGGGATATGACATTTACAGAGACACATTTTAAAGAAACTTTATTTTTGGTCTTTGAGTGGGATAACAAGAAACTTTGACTCATGTTCCCAGTGTTTTTAACATCCTGGTAGCAGCCAAAGTGTTGTGGGTTATTAAATTATAGCTCATATGGTGGAAGAAGTACTCAGATCCTTTACTTCAGTAAAAGTAGCAGTGCCACAGTCAAAAAGATCTATATTCAAAGCTCTAAAGTCAAAGTACAAAAATATACTTTGAGTAACCTACCAAAAGTAAAAATGCTCATTACAACAAAATGGCACATTTCTGAAAAATAGGATATTATATTATTGGTTTAAAACTAATGATGCAATAATGTGCAAGCATGACTAATGTTACAGCTGGTACACAATTTGTTGATAATTTTAATTAGCTACTTTTGCCAGATGGCTTGATCTAATAACACATCAAGGCCATGTTTTGTTTTATAATTAATTATGTTATCCTAATTTTATTATTTAATTATACTGTTTGGTTTTATTTGTTCTCTGTACCTTTAGTGGCATGATTTTATTAGTTTTTTTTAAATATTATCCTGATTGGCTTTATTCAGATTTTCATATGCAAATCATTTGTAACTGTTTTTGTAAAGTAGTTTAAAATAGTCTATTATTTATATTACTATTATTATAAATGTATATAAGTGATATGGTTAAATTCCACAGCTGCTAGTAGCAAACATTTATACAGACAATAGCGATGTATTTTATTACATTAATCGAGTGACCCATTTTTTCAATAAACGATCTTCGCTGAGGACCCAGCGCTGACTGCTGCCCGGAGCTACCGCCGCTGCCTCCAGTTTGTCGCCATGCTCGCTCCCGGCTGGCGCGTCACGGCGTTGCTGTGGAGACCCGTTACCGCCGCGGGTGATGAGAGGCGCCGTGTTTACCTGCAAACTGCGACCGCAGGGCAGCCAGGGAGCCGCCACTCGTCATTTATACCCGGGGAAGGAAGGAAAGGCCAATCAACAGGTGTTTTGTCTCACAGGAGTAGATGGAGATGAAATTTGCATTGACCATAATTATAAAAGGACATCGCCTGAATTGAAGCCTTCAGGCACTTATTAATATTATAGGTTCACCACACACACACAAACACACACACACACAGTTTATGTTTCGTAGTCCATGGGGACTTTACATTGACTTACATGCATTTCCTGTAGACTAACCCTAACCTTAACCAGAACCACTACTTGCCTAACCCTAACCCTTTCCCCTAACCTTAACCTAACCCTCGGAACGGATTCACCAAAAAGGAATAATGAAGAGGACCAACTGGACCACATCGACAACACAAGGAAAACAACCCAATAAATGTTCTCTACCCAGACAAAATACAGCATTAATGCAACCCTATCGTTTAAAACTAAAAGGAAGGACAGTACAATGTGACAGGGGCACACAGTGACAAGCGACGGCCCGTGCTTTGCCTTTGGCTCTCCATTCCAAACCACTTATGTGGACGCACATTTGTGGGGGGAGTCATCGAGATAAATTCTCAAACCTAACCTCATCCTAACCCTAAACCATGTTGCCACCCTAAAATTCAATTTCTTGCCCATGGGGACCTCAATTTAGGTTCCCACCGTGAAATGGGTCCTCATGAGTTGGTATGGAGTCAGGAAGAAGTCCCCACGTAGCAGGAAAAACACATCCACATACACACACACACGTGTCTTACTATAGTTTAGTAAATAAATGCATAAAATCAACAGTTGTCCATGTACTGTAGGAGAAATAAGTAAAATAAATAGCCGCGATAGATACTGTAAATGAATAAAAAACACCCTAGGGTATACCACATCAAGGAAAACTATCATAAAAACACAGGATAACTCAGAGTAAATGGAAGATATTTAAACCAGAATTAAAAGCCAAGGAGAAAAGATGGCTGGCTAATGGCCCTAATGTGGAGGGGTAGAGTGTTCCACAGTTAGGAGCCATTAAAACAAGGCATGGTCCTCACAGAGCTTCACCCTCGACTCTGGAACAACCAAAAGCATCAGGCCGGTGGCTCTAAGTGGCCTAGATGGTGTGTATGGATTTAAAAGCTCAGAGAAGTAGAAAGTGCTAATCCATTGAGTGACAATAACACCTTATATCAATCCTGTAATAAAATGGGAGCCAGTGAAGAGACTGTGGGGGGTTGGGGGCAGATTTACATGCTGTGTGTTTTGTACTGTAGTTGTGAGGATGCTTATTGACACAATGCATTCACTACCTCCTTCCCCTAACCTTATAACCATCACAGCCAAATGCCTAACCTAGCCTGAACACCAAAACCAGCCCTAACCCCAAACAGCCCGAAGATCCTTGTAATGCTGAAATGTCCCCACGGTGATTTTGAAGTAAAATTTGGCCACACAATCATAGAAAGACGTGCACACACCGAGCTCTTTTCTCCCACACTGCTCTCCCGCTCTCTAATGAAGGGCCCTTCAGCACTTACATCAGCTCTGAGGAGGCAGCCGAGAGAGAAGGAGTTGAAAGAAAGGAGCAGTAATTACTCAAGTGCGTGAACTGGAGAGCAGGGAGCAGGCTGAGCTCAAGAGCGGATATGGCGAGAACAAGTGTGTGGATCGTAGGTAGCCCTCCTCGTTCTCCTTCTTTCCACCCAATCATCATCCCACTGTTCTCTCCCTCCCTCCTCTGCTCTGCTCTGCTCGTTCACTGTGGGTGGCAGAGTGTGGGAAGTGAAGGCCAGCTGGTGGGTGAAGCATTTCATACGACTGTCACACACAGAGGCACAATAACATCAACAACACAACAAACGTTACCAGTGTAAGCAGCCTCTGCTGTCACATTGCTGCTTCACCCGGCCTTCTCTTGTGTGACCCTTTGACCCCATATATTCATACAGTGGTGGAAAGAAAGGAAAGCCTTTTTTCAGACATCCGTTCCTCATGATTTCATTCACACATGGAGGCTGTGATGGAGAGAGCAACAGTACGCATGCACTAGTTGCCATACGTTCAAGATTGGGCAGTACATCAAGTGCTGATGCACGAGAGACATGCACAGAAACTCATGGTGAATCCAAGTTACTTTATTTTATAGTTCCTCCGTCCTCTGTCCTCACTCAGGCTGAGTTGTGTAGTTCCTCCGTCCTCTGTCCTCACTCAGCCTGGAAGTTGTGCCGGGCTGACCCAGTGAGACTGTTGTCGCAACTTTTACCAGAA